AACAATGTGTTTTTTAAATGTTAAATTTTAGATTGGGTTCAGTGTGGCAGCAACGTAAGAGTATACACCTGATGATGGCCGTTAGAGGCCAAAACATGTAGTGTACAAGAGAGCAAGATCAAAGACATATAATATATATCATTTGCACTTGGGACGGAGTTTGTATCATTTAAAATTGTGGGAATCGACAAGCAGATCCAACGTCAGGTCAGTTGCTGGGTGTATAATCCACACAAAAATAAGTTTCTATCTACATAATTTGGCATTTAGAGTATTTATTTCCTTTATAAAAACACTGATGAAAAAATCACATACCTTGTTTTGATCCACCCAATACAGATAAAAGCCATTTTTGTCAACTCGTAGAGTAACAGGAGTTCCAACTCCTGAATCCTGAAACAAATAAAACAGACCATTGAAAATTTCAAAATTATTATTTAGTAAATATAAAATTGTGTGCGAACCTTATGTTTAAATATAACAAGGCTTTTCAGGGCAATCTTCTATCACAGGCTTCCAGTCCAACAAATCTTGTGCTGTATTTATGGTTCTCACAGTGATGACTTTGAGGAGTACAATCTTTTGGTATGTAAAGCTGTGTAGCATTGTGGAATTTCACCAATATTTTGGAGGTACATACTGCCACCATCTTCAGGGCCAAAAAGTATGCCAAGCAAATAGCCACCAAGAATAGACTGGCTTACAACTTCAACCTTGAAGAAGGAGGCAGTATGTTCAAACAGTGAACTTCTGTAGAGTACATGGCATTATATCACAGCAGACAGCACTCTTCAACGGTTGTGTTTTTAATGTTGATTTTAATCAATATAAATTTATAATTAAGAAACAAAATACAATTTAACTCATGCTGGGCTTGGGCATAAATGGTCATACAAGTGCACACTACTCAACTAAGGTTCTTCAATTGTTTCCAGGTGTAAATGTGGTATAGTATGTTGCAGATGACACTGATGTAATATTCTATGGATTTCCTTATTCCCTGTTGGTCATTGTTGAAACAAAGCTTAAATAAAGACTTCTCTATTTTGGGATATATTGCCCTGTAGTCCACTGAACCATGTTAGGTGGGTCCCTGTCACCACAGCATGGTGCATCCTCAGGTTGCGGATGGAGGGGACGCCCTCCAGTTTTGGAGGGAAGCTGCGAATATATTGAATAAGCAGCCGCGGACAGCCGACAAGGGGTGGCCCTCCAGCTTGGGGGTTGGGCGTGGGGCTAACAACTCCTCACCATAAAAAAGCAGTATGTTACAAAAATGAACACAAAGCCTTCGACCTGGACTGATTCCTTGGATAAACAATCTAAGCTGTGGTTCTGTATGGGTGTGAAACTTGGTCTCTGACATTAAGGGAGGAACATAGACCGAGGGTGTTTAACAAGATGTTGAGGAGAATATTTGGACCAAAGAGAGATGAAGTCACAGGAGTTTGGAGAAAACTGCATAATGAGGAGCTTCATAACTTGTACTCTTCTCCAAGTATAATTAGAATGATCAAGTCAAGGAGGATGAGGTGGGCAGATCATGTAGCAGGAATGGGGGAGATGAATGTGTATAGGATATTGGTGAGAAAGCCAGAAGGAATGAGACCACACGGAAGACCAAGGTGTAGGTGGGTGGACAATATTAGAATGGATCTTAGAGAGATAGGATGGGATGGTATGGATTGGATAGATCAGGCTCAGGATAGGGACCAGTGGAGGGCTCTTCTGAACACGGTGATGAACCTTCGGGTTCCATAAAAGGCTGGGAAATTCTTGAGTAGCTGCAGAATTGGTGGCTCCTCAAGAAGGGCTCAGCTCCATGATTAAGTAAGTAGTCCACTGAAACAGTCAACATTTCAGAGGAACATGTCACCACCATCTTCAAGGCTGAGGAGTACGCCAAGCAAGAAAGTGCTGCTTGCTGCCTGCTTCATGCTGGTTTATTGCTACCCTTACTCTTCAACACTGAAGATGGAGGTGACATGTTCCTCCACAACATCTGTTGACTTTCAATAGACTACATAGCATTGTACACCAGAAGGCATAACTATTCATAACCACCACTGTGAGAACCTCAAATTCTACAGAGCTCAAATTGGTTACTATTACTTTTTCCTCACATGCTACAACTTAATTTCCTGCTGAAAAAATTTCAGATGTAATGAAAATAATTAATAAGAACATAGTCACATTACTGATAATACTTTAATTGAACACTCTTCAAAATTTAAACACTGTAAGAAATTACTGTTGTAATTAATTATCAAAACTGCTATGGTACATTCTAGGCTGTGTTGGATAAAATACTCAAGCGCTACTGTCTTTTATTCTTAAACCTGAAAGGAAGTAGTCATTAGCATGAAAATAAGCATGAAGCAAGTGCATAGGTTCTTTGATTATTACGATTCAAGGAAAACGGGTGATTACACCGCATGAAATGCAAAATTCTGGCATATAAAAACACCTGAGATTACTGCAGTCTTTAACATGCATGCTGTAATTCATGTTACTAGCTGGCTGTATTATGTCCTGCACATTATGATTAGAGCACAAACAGCAGTACTGACTATCAAGATTCTGCATTACATAAGCATGCCCTTGCTACAAAATCTGCACTGCAATTTGAGGAACAAGTTTTGTTGTGTGTAGTGGTTTTTGCACTTAATGCCTCTAGGTTCTTGACCTCATGCATATCACTTTTTCGAAGCTCAGAACGTGTTTCATTACCATAGTTCTTTACAGCTGAAATTGTTCAAAGGTTATAAACTCAATGTTTTCATGGCCCTGTGCTTTCATGGTGGGGGGAAAGAAACTGACTTGGACTCAGATCCTTCCACGTAATAATAAAATTAACAATCTTCCCAGGTTTTCTTCCCTAAAATGAATAACCTCTGTATTACAAAAGGTTAATTAATTCCGTCAAGTGTGACTGATGGTTTTTTCTTTTTAATCCTTTATCCTTTACATTTTAACATTTTTAAACATACTAACTGTAAGAAATATTCTAACATGTTGGTACAAGCTTCTGTAGTGGTTAAAAAACATTAGATTTGTACATTGTATTTTGATGATATCGTATGTACATAATAATATTCATAACACATATTGTAATAGTGATTTCTAATTGTACTGATATCCTTCTGAAGATGGCCTATAGGACCAAAACATGTAAAGGATAAAAGATAAAAAAGAAAACAAACATCAGTCACACTCAACAGAATTAATTAACTTTTGTAATATTGTTAGTGTGACGGAGCAGAATGAAACAAATCAAACTTTTGTATTTACACAAATTTGCTCTTATTGCCAGTTTCTGAGGTACAGAGCTTGAAATAAATACAGAACAAGTCATATACTGTACATAGATGTATGTACATACATAGATACTGGAAATTCTCTTCCATCATAAATTTTCCATCCTTGTTCCAAAAGGAACAATATTTGTATAGACTAGACAATGATATTGCACACCAAATAACTGCAAAGTCACTAACATAAAATACAGAGAATGGTCTGTAAGTGTTGCAGCTAGCATGATAGAACAGCAAATTACAATAACCAAGGTCACTCGCAAGAGAGAGGGAGATGCTAATGGCCTTGAATGTTGATTTCACAGGCTAAAATTCTGTCTGAAACATAAAAGACCTATTCTTCACTTCTCCCTTCCTCATTATTAATTTAGAACTGACCTTACATTATCAGACATTCAAGAACATGGGGAGGGGGGGATTCACAATAAAAGCCGTTTATAACAGAAACCCAATGGCCCAAAACCGTTCTGTGTTAGGTTGATTTTTACTATATAAAAAGATAATTTTGTAAGATATACTCCAAGTAGAAATTTTGGCCAAAATTAGGTACAGAATTCAAGCTAATATATTGTTAATGCTGCTGAGCTTACTTATAGAACTGAGCCCTTCTTGAGGATAAGCAAAATCTGCAGCTACACAATTTCCCAGCATTTTATGGAACCCGAAGGTTCACAACCGTGTTCACAAGAGCCCTCCACTGGTCCCTATCCTGAGCCCCATCTGTCCAATCCATACAATCCCATCCTATCTCTCTAACATCCATTATAATATTATCCACCAACCTAGGCCTTGGTCTTCCCAGTGCTCTTTCCTTCTGGCTTTCCCACCAATATCCTATATGCATTCCCCTTCTCTCCCATTCGTGCTACATGCCCTGTCCACCTCATCCTCCTTAACCTGATTATTCTAATCATACTTGGAGAAGGGTACAAGTAAGGAGATACAGAATAGACAAAAAATTTTGAGAATCATTGTACAATACCAGCAAATGACCATGCAAACATTCGTAAGCAGACATGCACAGTCACATTTAACATGATATTAATCTAAATTACATGTGCACACTCCTATTCACTTTCTTTTCTTCTCTCTGGGGCAAAAAGAGAGAGGGAAAAAATCTTCCAGAGCTTCCTTACGAATTTTCATCAACTACATCTGTTGTGAGCTACAATCCCATGTGATCATTGCAACAGGAAATATATAATTCAATGTTAGACTGTTCTGAGATATATATGTTTTACAGATCAGTTTCACTGCAATTTGCCAGCCTAATTATCTCTCTCTCTCTCTCTCACTCACACACACACACAAGGAATATGTAATATACTCCACCCACTGTATGGACAAGGATGAGTCATCATTAGTTAATGACAAAGACCAGACCTTTATGTCACCACTACAAGGCTACAAATTTCTTTTTTTTTTTTAACATACTTCCAGTATCCATACACCCATACACCCAAGAAAAAGTCAGACGTACTTAAACAGGGCTTTTCATACTTAAGGCTGCTTACACAAGGTATGGCATACCCTGCTTCATACAGTATGTGGACTTTGCAAGTGACTTCCAAGTCACTATTTACCAAAAGGTTTCCAAATCAAAACAGCTTAGTCAGAAGGCTTACTACTAGGCAGATGGCCTGGATAAATCCAAAGAGGGAAAGAGATTTTTCTCACCACCATGTTCCATCTGGCTCTGGGACTCGCCCAGCCTTCAATCTGACTGCTACTGGCATCAGTTTGCCCATAGTAAAGCAGTTGGAGTAAAACCCTGACCACTCACTCCCATATAGTGCTGCAAACAGCAGCCTTCCAAGCCAAAATTACATGTTTATTTTTCGCAAACTGAGCTAAATAATCAGCCCATTTCAATCTTCTTAAATTCTGCCTAAAGTAATAGAAATCAAGTAGGTTAGTACATCTGTTAATACATGACCTGCCATCTGGTGCAGCCTAACTGACTACAAGCCAGGGACCAGCTATTCTAAGATTGTCGTGATTTATCTTAGTTCCTGCAAGTGAATGCCACAATGTTTTCTAAAAACGCTGACCACATTCCATATTTCTCACGATTCATTA